ACTCTATGCATCTGAAGAAGTGAGGTTTTTACCCACGAAAGCTTATGCCCAAATAAATCTGTTAGTCTTTAAGGTGCCACCAGACTCCTTGTTGTTTTTGTAGATACAGACTAACACGGCTACCCCCCTGATAGGTGTCACCAAGTACCTCCGCCAATTTTCATGGTTTCACAGTCAATGTTTCTCTCTCCCCTGTTACCTTATGAAACATTGCCACAAATTTACTCCTTACTCCTATCAATTTTGTCAGGGAAGCACTCTTTTGAAAGCAATATTGTGAGTATATTTGTTTTATTAAATAATTTTCTAAATTATATTTTTTCAGAAGAGATGATAAATCCTAGTAGAAATATCCCCTCGACTGTGATGACTGCACTTCCTGCAGTGACTTTGTTTTATTTACTTGTAAACATCTCGTATCTGACAGTTCTGACACCTAAGGAAATTGTCTCCTCAGGTAAGGATATAAGGCTGATGAATCAAAAGGAGAGCTAATCATTACAACTATTTATCTGTGTCCACCCTGTTGGGGTCACTTGGGTCCAGCTGAATTCAGGGTTTACATATAGCAAGGCACTGGACTTTGAGTCAGGAGATCTGGCTTCTGTTCTGAGCCCTAAGGGTATGTCTACACCAGGGGTCAGCAACCTTTCAGTGCCGAGTCTTCATTTATTCGCTCTAATTTAAGGTTTTGCGTGCCAGTAATACATTTTAATGTTTTTAGAAGGTCTCTTTCTATAAGTCTATAACATATAACTAAACTATTGTTGTATGTAAAGTAAATAAGGTTTTAAAAATGTTTAAGAAGCTTCATTTAAAATTAAATTAAAATGCAGAGCCCCCCCGGACCAGTGGCCAGGACCCGGCAGTGTGAGTGCCACTGAAAATCAGCTCGTGTGCCGCCTTCAGCACGCGTGCCAGAGGTTGCCTACCCCTGGTCTACACTGTAGCTGGATGTGAACCTTCAGCCTGGGAAGACAGACTTGTGCTAGTGGGGTTCAAGCTAGCATGCTAAATATAGCAGTACAGATGTTGTGGCTTGGGCTGGAGCTTGGGCTCTCAAGCCTAGGGTCTTGGGTGGGCTTGAGAGCCTGAGCTGCAATGTCCATACTGCTATTTTTAGTGCGCTAGCTCTAGTCACTCTAGTGTGAGTCTGTCTGCATGGGCTGGGAGACTTGCTTCCAGCTATTATTTAGACGTACTTTAACATAGACTTCCTATGGGGCTTTGAGGAAACTCCTTGGGGGCTTGTGTACACATAGAAGTTGCCACAGTTTAATTTAAATCTCTTTAGTAAAACTGGAGTTGTTGTAGCTATGTCGGTCCCAGGATATTAGGGAGTCAAGGTGGGAGAGATAATATCTCTTATTGGACCAACTTCTGGTGGTGAGAGAGACAAGCTTTTGAGCTTACACAGAGCTCTTCTTCAGCAAGAAGACCAGGCCTTTGGCTCTCTGTACTTTAGCTCACTACCTGTAATATTAGGACTATACTCCCTACCTCACAGGTGCGTTATAAGGAAAAACTCATTAATGTTTGAGCAATGAGCACCAAAGAAAAAGCCTACAAATAAATAAAACAAAATGGTCTTATTACAGGCCTTTTTTAGGGGTTAATTTTCAGAACAAATGTCCTCGTTCTGTAGGAGGCTCTATACTAAAAGTGCCATGAACCTAGAGTCTCTCATCTTCCATTGGATTGTAGCTGCTATAGCAAGTCCTGGAAGAATTGTATTCCTCATTGTGATAGTCCCTTTTCTGTTCTAATCAGCTTCTTATACTGTGTACATCACTATAGTATCTGAGTACCTTATGCCCTTTGGCTGTTGGCCCAGTAAATAGCAGTCCCTTTGCACAAGCATGGGCAATAGCGAATTTTCAAGAGGTGCTAGGAAGTAGCCCTTCACATTTCTTTGTGGAGTCCCACAATGGGATAGATCAGGGGTTCTCAACCTTTTTCTTAGTGAGGCCCCCCCAACATGCTATAAAAACTCCACAACCCACCTGTGCCACAACAACTGTTTTCTGCATATAAAAGCCAGAGCCAACGTTAGGGGGTAACAAGCAGGGCAATTACCTGGGGTCCAATTCCATAGGGGGCCCTGCAAAGCTAAGTTGCTCAGGCTTTGGCTTCAGCCCCAGGTGGCAGGTCTTGGAGCCCCAGGCTTCAGCACCACGCCACATGGCTTTAGCTTTCTGCCTTGGGCCCCAGCAAGTCTAACATTGGCCTTGCAATGCAGACCCCCTGAAACCTGCTTGCAGCTCCCCGGGGGGCCACGGGCTCCTGGTTGAGAACTGCAGGGATAAAGGATTAGATAATCTGTGCACTGATGAATCATCTGGCCTGTCCCCGCCCCCTGTATACTGCCACACAGGAAACTCCTTCAGTAGCAGTCCATGTCATATAGGGGGCTAACACATTTGTTCTCCCCGCCGTGCCCTGATCCTGCTTCTGCCTACTTGTAAATAGTGTGGTTTCACTATACACGGCCAGGGAACCCTCTGTACCCCCTAGTTCTTACTCACAAAGTGGTTCCACTGAGTTGTCATCAGTTCAGTAAGACTGTTGGGACACCACACCCACTGTTTAATGACATTTTGTTTCCTTGCAGTTGCTGTGGCAGTCACTTGGGCTGACAGAGTGATTCCCTCCGTTGCTTGGGTCATTCCTCTCTCCGTTGCTGCCTCAATATTTGGTGCCCTCAACAGCAGCATGTTTACATTAGGACGATTAAGTTATGCTGGAAGTCAGTCAGGACACTTGCCTGTTTTAATATCCATGCTTAATGTCCACTATTGGACTCCGGCACCGGCCATGATTTTTTCAACCATCATTGCATCCATTTTTATTATACCCGCTGATCTAATTACTTTAACAAATTACTTTGGATTTTCTGTATGGCTTATGATTGGACTGACTTGTGCCAGCCTGATTGTACTCCGATACCGGGAACCTAATCTACAGCGACCATACAAGGTAAATGGAAAAAGAGTTAAAAGTTGTAACATTTTATCTTGGATCAAAGGGGTAGCCGTGTTAGTCTGGATCTGTAAAAGCAGCAAAGAGTCCTGTGGCACCTTATAGACTAACAGACGTATTGGAGCATGAGCTTTCGTGGGTGAATACCCACTTCTTTGGATGCATGTAGTGGAAATTTCCAGAGGCAGGTATAAATATGCAAGCAAGAGTGAGTCAGGCTAGAGATAATGAGGTTTGTTCAATCAGGGAGGATGAGGCCCTCTTCTAGCAGTTGAGGTGTGAACACCAAGGGAAGAGAAACTGTTCACGATTAAACAAAGACTGTGAATGGCTAGCCAACTACAAAAGCAGTTTCACCCACAAAAGCTCATGCTCCAATACGTCTGTTAGTCTATAAGGTGCCACAGGACTCTTTGTTGATTTTATCTTGGGTTATGTTTAACACTGGGAAAAACTTCCTGAACACCTAGTTTGTGAATAGCAATTGTAAATGGATAGTTCGCAATTCATTTTTAGATTAAGCTTTGAGTTACTCTTTTTGCTGACATAATCCCAGGCAAAGGGGTGGCAGGGCAATTAATTGTGCTTGCAATATGGCAAAGAGTGCTTAGTTCTCTTGCATTTAATGCATAAAATGACAAATGTCTATTTTTGATTCTTCTGTTTGTTTCTTTTGCAGGTGTTTTTACCAGTTGCATTTGCGATGGTGGCAGTTTCTTTGTTCTTAGTCTTGGCTCCTATAGTCTGGTCTCCCAAGATGCAGTATATGTATGCCCTTCTCTTTATGTTGGGGGGCCTTCTGGTGTACCTGCCTTTTGTACATTTTAAATTACATTTTGATTTTGTTGACAAAATTACTTGTTACTTACAGCTACTGTTGGAAGTTTCTCCTGCTGATGTATTTGCTGATGGTAAATATGAGTAATAGCAAATGTTTAAACCCTATACTGTATTGCTAACAGCCAATAGAAGTTCTTTTTTAACTCAAGTGGTCGCAGTCATGGAGTTAAGCATGTACTTAAGACTCTGATTCAGGAAAACACTTAGGCCCAGATTTTTAAAGGTATTTGGGCAATGCTGACTATCAATGAGATTTAGGTTCCTAAGTGCCTAAATCCCTTTTGAAAATAAGTTTTAGGGTTTGTCTACATGGTGCATTAGTTCACACTAGAGGGATGTAAATTCTAGTGTGCACTAGTGTGTTGTGCGCTAACTGGCCCATGTGGACCTGCTAGCATGCATTAAAAGTTCCCTAGTGTTTGTTAACATAGTCCCCGTAGAAATGGAATTTACATCTCTGTACTGTGGGTTAACTCAGAGTCTAGTCAAGCCCTTAGACTCCTAAATCAGTTTGGCATAATTTGCAATGCAGAGTGCAGCAACACCTAACTACCTTAAAAATCTGAGCGTTAAGCATATGCTTACATTTAAGACTGTGAAGAGTCCCATTGGGATTAAAAATTATAATCTCAGGCAAGAAATAGTCTCTGTGGACTTCTCATAGTCTTAAAGTTAAACACGTGCCTAAGGGCTTTGCTAGATTGGTGTCAGAGCATTCAGCACCTCGCATGATAAAGTCCTTTATGTATAGAGAATCTCTTTCAAAGTTATAAAATCTGTAAACGCAGAAAAAAGTGTTTGTGTTTGCCCACTTGAACAGTAGCAAATCTAAACTATACTATTAACTGAATACATGTCAATATGATCATATATACATTAGGGATCCAGTGTCAAGTAAATTGTAGAGTAAATTGATGTTTTGCTTATTTTTAGTATTAAGTAGCTTGTATTCTAGGGCTTTGGGGTTTGAATACTTTGTAATTTTTTTTTCATCTGTGCTTCCTTGAATTGATTAAAAACTTTGACGAACCTAACCTTCTTGCCTGACACTATGTTTTTAATCCCAGAAAGAACCTACAGGGAGCGCTTGGCTATCTCAAAACAATACATACAAATGTACAAATGATATCTTATTAAATATTAGATAAGGCATAAGAGAATTGTACTGTTCAATTAATATGTTTTTGGTGTACCATACCAAGTCATATTTCATGGGGAAAAAAGGAACAATTTTCCATGATTATTACTTAGGCCCCAAGCGTAGGAGCCAATGAATTACTTTATTCTCATAAACGGGCCATGATGTATCACAGTCTCCCCTCCTGGTGAAGTGAAGTGCTTGCATCATGAAAGTCCCAGGCTCAGGGTGATGTGGATGAATCATCTTGGGTGATATAGTCCAGCTGGGGAACCTTGCCCATATGGGAACATGGGGACATGAGGACCAAAATACAGTTCCCATGAGTCACTGCAGGAAGGGGAACAAGAAGACTTTTTATCAATACATTAGAAGCAAGAGGAAGACCAAAGACAGGGTAGGCCCACTGCTTAGTGAAGAGGGAGAAACAGTAACAGGAAACGTGGAAATGGCAGAGATGCTTAATGACTTCTTTGTTTCGGTCTTCACCGAGAAGTCTGAAGGAATGCCTATCCTAGTGAATGCTAATGGGAAGGGGGTAGGTTTAGCAGATAAAATAAAAAAAGAACAAGTTAAAAATCACTTAGAAAAGTTAGATGCCTGCAAGTCACCAGGGCCTGATGAAATGCATCCTAGAATACTCAAGGAGCTAATAGAGGAGGTATCTGAGCCTCTAGCTATTATCTTTGGAAAATCATGGGAGACGGGAGAGATTCCAGAAGACTGGAAAAGGGCAAATATAGTGCCCATCTATAAAAAGGGAAATAAAAACAACCCAGGAAACTACAGACCAGTTAGTTTAACTTCTGTGCCAGGGAAGATAATGGAGCAAGTAATTAAGGAAATCATCTGCAAACACTTGGAAGGTGGTAAGGTGATAGGGAACAGCCAGCATGGATTTGTAAAGAACAAATCATGTCAAACCAATCTGATAGCTTTCTTCGATAGGATAACGAGTCTTGTGGATAAGGGAGAAGCTGTGGATGTGGTATACCTAGACTTTAGTAAGGCATTTGATACGGTCTCGCATGATATTCTTATCGACAAACTAGGCAAATACAATTTAGATGGGGCTACTATAAGGTGGGTGCATAACTGGCTGGATAACCGTACTCAGAGAGTTGTTATTAATGGTTCCCAATCCTGCTGGAAAGGCATAACGAGTGGGGTTCCGCAGGGGTCTGTTTTGGGACCGGCTCTGTTCAATATCTTCATTAACGACTTAGATATTGGTATAGAAAGTACGATTATTAAGTTTGCGGATGATACCAAACTGGGAGGGATTGCAACTGCTTTGGAGGACAGGGTCATAATTCAAAATGATCTGGACAAATTGGAGAAATGGTCTGAGTTAAACAGGATGAAGTTTAACAAAGACAAATGCAAAGTGCTCCACTTAGGAAGAAAAAATCAGTTTCACACATACAGAATGGGAAGAGACTGTCTAGGAAGGAGTACGGCAGAAAGGGATCTAGGGGTTATAGTGGACCACAAGCTAAATATGAGTCAACAGTGTGATGCTGTTGCAAAAAAAGCAAACGTGATTCTGGGATGTATTAACAGGTGTGTTGTGAGCAAGACACGAGAAGTCATTCTTCCGCTCTACGCTGCTCTGGTTAGGCCTCAGCTGGAGTATTGTGTCCAGTTCTGGGCACCGCATTTCAAGAAAGATGTGGAGAAATTGGAAAGGGTCCAGAGAAGAGCAACAAGAATGATTAAAGGTCTTGAGAACATGACCTATGAAGCAAGGCTGAAAGAATTGGGTTTGTTTAGTTTGGAAAAGAGAAGACTGAGAGGGGACATGATAGCAGTTTTCAGGTATCTAAAAGGGTGTCATAAGGAGGAGGGAGAAAACTTGTTCACCTTAGCCTCTGAGGATAGAACAAGAAGCAATGGGCTTAAACTGCAGCAAGGGAGGTCTAGGTTGGACATTAGGAAAAAGTTCCTAACTGTCAGGGTGGTTAAACACTGGAATAAATTGCCTAGGGAGGTTGTGGAATCTCCATCTCTGGAGATATTTAAGAGTAGGTTAGATAAATGTCTATCAGGGATGGTCTAGACAGTATTTGGTCCTGCCATGCGGGCAGGGGACTGGACTCGATGACCTCTCGAGGTCCCTTCCAGTCCTAGAATCTATGAATCTATGAATCTATGAATAAGATATCCAAATCAAAATATTTCAGGTTTTGGGAGTTTTGATGATGCTCCCCCCCTCAATATTTTCCATCAAAAGCAGACCCTTCACAAAATTGTTTTTTTGTCAAAAATATTCTATTAAAAACAGTTTTGCTATGCACAATACACACCACAGCATCTGTAAAACCCTGGTTTAACATCAAAAAAGGAGAAAAAATTCCAATAACATGGTATAAGACAGCTTAAATATTAATGTAACTACTGAGAAAGCAATATGAAAAAGAGACTATTGACCTTTGCTGAGTGGTAGCAGATTTGGGGTCCTTGTCTGTTAGTTTCCCATTGGAGGAGAAATCAGTGGCACAGAATCAGTGTATTTTCTTAGTGTAGCTTGTTCATTTGCAGAATGTTCACGCCTCCTGTTTTCTGGAACAGAGGTGTTCACAAACGACACAGAGGCAATGCCTTCTTGCAGAAACCTCAGCTCAGGCACCACTACCAATCACTAAGGAGCAGCTGCCTTGGGTTTCTGTCTCTCATGGACTTTATTGGAATCTGATTGCTTAAATACACTGTTCCCCTTTCCTGCCTCAGCTGCTGGTTTTACACCTAGAAAAAACCCCTAATCCAAGGCTCCTGACCTAGGGTGACATGGCTACAAATCTTCCTTTTGTGCAGCACCTCTGCAACACAAGGGAACCTCAGAAAACATTTATTTGCCCATCCTGAGAGTGATTTAAACCCACACAATCCCTATCATGACCATCTGGGTTTGATTACTGCACGAGGTTCCTTTAATTCTTTCTATGGAGAGTTTAATCCTGAGTGTTTATACATGAATGACTCATAACATGCATGACACTAGCACCTGTTATCACAATACTTTTCTTTCTTACACTGAAAAGTCAATAAAAGTATTCCAATAGACTAGAGAAAGCAAAGTAAAATTTACTTTAATTATTCAAATTCAAGTCCCCACATTAAAGAGACACCTGTCAGCATTTTCTGAAAGAAGCTGAGATAACCGTCTTCTTTGGGCCTCTGTCCTGATACCTGATCTCGCTAAGGATGTTCACTTTTTTCAAAGAGATAAAATGTGTGCCTAGAAAATCTAGCAGATCTAATAAGAAGCACACAAACAAACAGCCATGTTGTCCTTGTCCACCACTTTGCACAAAGACACTACCGCAGACCACTAGGCTTCAGATGACATTGCAAAGATGTCACATCTCCTCCTGAATGCTTCAGGTCCAGCTACTCCTCTAAATGAACAGGCCCTGTAATTAGACACTTAATTATTAAGCATTACTTCTACAGTATCATACATGTGCATAGAGTTTTATATCTATATAAGAGACATGATTCTTGCCTCATAGAAATAAGTGAGCTTACTTTTCCATTTCAGCAAAATTCCATTTACTTGGATATGACAGGTCTGCTTGGACCTACTGCTTAAAACAAAGAGGGTCTCAATATCAACCTTTCTATTAGAAGGGCTCTCATCATGTTCCTGAATACTTCAGGTAACTATGGTTCCTGGATTTTTCTTGTGTGTGTCAAGATCCAATGGAGCATGATAAGAGTATATGATCTAAATGAGTTTTGGTTCTTCCGGAATGGAGTGATTTGTATCTTTTAAGACAAAGGTTTTGTCTTCAATTAATTGGTTAATTAAGAGACCCAGTTCTGACACCCTAGTGGACCAATATAATGATAACAGCATATCATTTTAGTAGCTAAATCCACTGAAACAATGGGAACAAGTGGGTGCTCAGCAGTTTTGAAAATCAGGACATTCTTTTAGGCACCCAAATATGGATTTAGGAGTCTAAACTTAGGTATACATTTAAAAAAAATCTTGGCCATACTTTTTAATAGTGGCAATAAATTTACTGACTACTACATAGAAGCTAGATAATAAATTTACTCTCATTA